TGCAATTTGTAAATGGTGTTATTGCACGACTGCGACACACGCGGATCGCGTGGGAACGCGGAAAATTGACAACGAAAACGTCCACAAAGAGGGAAGCACAGAGAGGAGATGCGTACGTGGGAACTGAACGGAGAGACGAGAGGGGACGACGTGGTGGGTTCGAGACGAAAAACGCGAGTCCATAGGTGCCATCCTATGGACTGCTGAGAATACAAGTTGGGGCCTGGGCAAAAGCACATCGCTGGAAGCGATGATGGCCAGTGGACGAGATCGAAAATGAATGTCATCTAGCAGCACCCTCATGCAGAGGCCAGGGCCGATGAAATATGTTTTGCCATTATAAATGCTTTACTGGCAGGTCGTCCTGGGTACGACGTTGTTAAGACTGCAACCGGGGATTGTGTCACACCTAAAAAAAAACACGCAGGGGAGGGAGGGAGGGAGGGAGGGAGGGAGGGAGGGAGGGAGGGAGGGAGGGAGGGAGGGAGGGAGGGAGGGAGGGGAGGGAGGGAGGGGAGGGAGGGAGGGAGGGAGGGAGGGAGGGAGGGAGGGAGGGAGGGGAACCCGAGCCGTGTACCTGCTCGTGCAATTCTGCAGATGAACTTTTCAGCTATGATCAATATACCGCTCAGCGAAAACCTCTCCCAAGTTGTTGCCACCCTCTCAAGCGTTCGGCGATGCAAAGGTCCACCCAGAACCGACACACACTCACACGAGCCAACTTCGTCTCTCAGTTTCCGAATTTGGGCGCACTCTCTCGGGTGCGTTCCCTCCTTTGGCTGCAAATCCATCGCTAGTCTCGTCCATAGACCGTCATCCCTCCCTTCCAGCGCGGAGTCCTACCTGAGACCAGACTTTTCTTAACTGTACATACGATCATCATCATGGGACCTCCTTTGCCAGTACCAAAATATGAGAATGAGTTGTACATACGATGCTTGTACATGCAATGTCTCTAAGTTGTGTATGCTCCCTCATCCACGTTTCCTCTTTCCGTCAAGGTAATTGCAAGAACACATCTATGCATGCTTCTTAGAGCACGCACAAATAAATACAAAATATTTAAAGTGTCGGATTTGCACATGCCAAATACAGTTAAGGTGCGGCTAATACCTAGAAAAAAATTTCTGATGCACCAGGAGGAAGGTCCGTTGCCCGAAACGTTGTCTCATATAATTTGCATTATTGACAAACGTGGTCGGGTTTTCTTTGTTGCCCTTGTGCACTGCTGCCAACACAGTATCACCAGATAATTTGTCTAATACCCAGAATGAACAACGACTTAAGAAAAACTTACAACAGCAGCAGGGCACACACACTCCACCATTCTGCGGGATGTCTCAACAAAAACCACATGCCAATAAGTGGCGCCGACATGAAAAAGCAGTTAAACCAACAGCGCTGCATGCTTAAATGTCATGTTTTTATAATTACACAATCTAACCGGAGGGTGATCAAAACAGGAGGCTTATTACAAGGGAATTATAAAAAAAAAGTTTGCACATACATACGCTTTCATATGCACACACACACACAGGCAATTACATACCTCGTTCAAATGTTTTCAGAGACGCAGTCGAGCGGCAGCTCAAGCATACGCAGCCACGGCTGAAGCATGGGGCCGGCGCACTGGCCCTGCTGCTGCTGCTGCTTCGGAGCCACCTGCGCACGCGAGCGGCCTTCCTCCCAAACGCGGGAGTCGCCGCACAACCCGTGGCCGGTAGAGCTGCGTTAAGGCGTCCCGACGGTTTTTACAGCTGCCCCCGATTTCTTAGATGTTTTTTTTCCACCCCCCCCCTACCCCCCACCCACCCACCCACCTCTCTCTTTCTCGGGAGGCGCCGACGACCGCTAACGCACTCTGGCCGACGCGAAACCGCGGCAAAAACAAACCACCGCCCCCCCCCCCTCTCTCGTACTGACACCACCCCCCCCCGCCCGCGGCCCACACCCACAAAACCCCTAACCGCATGCCGCAGAAACGCATCGCGACGTGACGCAGCAGAGTAAGGCTCCGTTTGAGAAAGTGGGACGTGGGGGGGGGTTTATTGAAACAAATGGTTGCAGCGGTCAGCGTTTAAGTTTGTCGCGGTGTGAACCATTGCACGTGCAGATTGGCATTAAAAAAAAAAACAATGTACAGAACTTACTCTCCGTCTCCTCAAGTTATAATGTACATTCTATACAAGATAGATTCCCGCACCACCGAATTAGCGCGGTTGGCTACGTATGGTGCGAAAGAAGTTCATACGTAATTAAGTGAAAATTTTACCTTTTACGCAGCCTTATTCACATTGTACTTTTTTACTGTATTGTTCAACTGTAGTCTACATTTGTTCAATTTAAATGTTTTTAAAATACATATTTCGCTCAGGTCGTTTGCAATGTAACCCAGGTCGCCCTTACAAAAGAGGCTTTCATATTCTTGGTTCTTTCGGAAAAGTCACGTAGAAGGGAAAACAATAAAATAATAAAAATACGTTACTTTACCGAAAGAACCAAGAATATGAATCCCTGCAGTCACGAAAGCTTTAAATCAAAAAGAGGCTTTGTTGAGTTATGTGTCACCTGGGCAAATAAAAGAGAGAACAGAAGCAGTATGGACCATCGCTGGGACCCCAGGGGACACGAAGTTGTCCCACACTGATATAAGGACATTGTGTCCACAAGCAAGACCAACAGCACCTCCAAGAAATGTAATTATTCACTCTTTAACTTTATTTAAATCGTGCACAAGTGAAAAAATGTGCACGTCCCCAAAAACCAAATCACGTTGGATGTGCCCGACCCTGTCAGATCTACAGCCCAGCAGGCTTTTAACCTTGGTTAGCACTTGAATGTGGCGATTCTCATGGCTTGCCAGGTGTTGTTAGCCGTCGTTTGTAGGAGTGAGGCTGGAAGGGGTGGCCGGGAGATGGCGGTGCCGAGCGTCACCCGTGTGTGCGAGGAGCTGGATTCTGTTTTCATCCCACATCAAGCCAAACTCATCTATGCTATTGGCCAAACATCCACAGGTAAGCAGCACGCCCCTAAATAAAATAATCTTGATACTCAATGAGACTCCACTGGGTGAATCATTGAAATGTGATGATTATTTTAATAAAGCTCACCGAGACAGAGCATCGCTCTTTCAATGAAGACGACCCGTCGTCGAACAAAGCGATGGCAGTCAACGTGGCAGAAGGAGATCGGGCACAACACCACAAGGATGCTTCTGGGTTTGCGTCACGAGCGTATGACCTCATGTGGGACTAGCGTCTTCCCCGCGCACAGTCATCCAAACGCAAACAGATGGAGAGATTTGTTCGCAAATATAAGTCGATCAAGAGAGCCTCCCAAAACATAATGGCACTTGCAGGACCACTGCGGATTTTTTTTAGTAACCGCAGGTTGAATTAACGGTGCTTAAATCAGACCCTTGCACAAATGTCAAGGGATGAGCGCTTGGCGTACTGATTCAGCGCACAGCGCTACGAACCTGGTGGCTCGAAGGTTTTATTGCGGCTACAACTAACGTCAGTGGACACCGACATCTGAACCGAACGCCAACACTCCATCACTTCATTAAGCCGCACTGACCAGCGTGGTGAAGTATGGTCAAAACAAACAGATCAGCGTGGTGAAGTATGGTCAAAACAAACCCCCATAACCAACACGTCTTTCTTGGGGAGGCCCTCATTACAAGTGGTTTGACGGTGCCATACGAAATACAAAGGTAAAAGTGAAACGTCTACTTTGGAGGTAAGCTGCATGTTCGCAATAGCGGGTTAATTGCCGAATGATCGCTGACCCAACGTTGAATTGTCCAAAACACAGGAGCGTGCAATATTTTTTCTACAAAAGAAAAAAAAAACAGTTTTCTTGGCCTGTGTGTGTGCGCCGAGTGGCGCTTGCAAGAGGTGGTGGGGTGGGGGGAGGTTGGGGTTGGACGGCTGGCTGAACGAAAAAAAAAATTAAAAACAAAACGCTCTTCTGCCACGCCACAAAGAAAGCCATTCAGTGGGTTCAGGCTGGCGTAATATCCCCCTCCCTTCTGCCCGCACTGCCCTCGTGCGCCAAACCCCTCCCCACACCCAGCACGCCACCCCCCCCGCCCCTCCCATCTACACTCATTGAGCCCCAATTCCATTAAATTAGAATCTTAAATAATATCACGACGGGAGGCATCGGTGGAGTGTACTAATAACAAGATAAAGGCGCAGCCCTGTAATTCCTTGCTCGTGCCACTGCTGAGGCCTCCCTTGACTTAAGGGAGCTATAGAGAGCCTCGCTAAAAAGGGTATTTGGCCTAATCGAACACGCTGGCCACAGGTCGTGGAAAGAGATGGGAGTACCCACACTTTACCCCAATCATCCGCGCCTCTGCCAATCGATCGGCTTGTGGTGCGCCCATTTAACAAAAACAACGCCGGGTGATCCGGAGCTACGTTTCCCCCATAAACAGCAAAGCGAAGAACTTGCAAGTGGAGCGTGATTTCTGTTACCTTACGATGTTTGTTTCTCAAAAACAAAAAATAAAAGGGCCGACAGCGCTCGGTAACAGTTCACAACTTTCACAAACAACATAAGGAAAAGTACAATGACCGGTCAAACGTCAGCACGGCACGCCGCAAGTAAAGATACATTCCCGAGCGAGACTTTGCATTTCGGAGTTTCGTTCAATGTTTGCCATTATTTTATTTCGTTTCCATTTCTTTTTCCTCTGCCCCCCCCCCCACCCTTCTTGAATATGACCATACGGAATATAATATTCCTTCTGGCTTTACACTCACCTACCACTTCAGCCAACCTGTTTTATTGAAGAAATTGATATTAATAGGTTTAACGCTGCTTTTTTTCCTTTCTTCAGCATTTAAAAATAAATAAAAATGTCAGGAGACCAGCGTGGGCCCGAGCGTTCCGTCCGGAACGAAACACACGAGCACGCGAGGTCAGAGCACGAGGAATAAAAAGAGGGGAAGAACTACTGACACGTTGAAATATCCTATTTTATAACTCACCAGAGATGCGTTCGCTGGATGAGATGGTGAAGAATAGCCGATCTTGGACCGAGATGCTGTGGTTTAAAACGAAGCAGCATCCGCGCAAACTCGCTTCTGCAAATGAATAAAAAAGTGGTTTTAATGTTGAACAAATTAAAACGTACCTCTCGGCACAAAGCCAAACGTGCACACACACACACACACCTTCGCCGTGTTTTTGTACAATTTCAAGCCAGCGTCAAGAGAGCTGCATTTTGGCACACATTTTACAGCTGTGATCGAGGAGAAGGATGATTCTATAATAATTCAAGAAACCTGCTGCTCTACACCAATATATATATTGCCTGGCGCAATTCTCGAAACGTTATCTTGTCCTTGACCCAGGTTAACTCGTGAAAAAAAAATGGGCGTTATGCATTGCAACAGCCAGGAGCGGCGGCACGTGCCTGTACAGCCCCAGTGCTTCCGAGGCAAGACTCAGCGGTTCGCGTAGAGATTTGTGAAACGCCTGCACGCACACGCACCCGAGTTGCGATTGTGCCCCAGATGCAGCGCGTGACAAAAATTCATTATTGAACCCATCTGTGCGGAGCTTTTGAGTGTTGTCATTCTCACTCATTTGCTTTGCTTTTTCTCCAGGTGCTCTCCGGATTTTCTGTCGCATCCCAGTGTAGCGGGACCCTCTTAAAATATTAAAAAAAGCCTTGAGACTGAGGCATTCCTGAGTACGGCATCATCATGACCATCGTCAACCATGGTCAATCCACTGCCGCATTTAAGGCTTCCACCACCAAGCTGCCGCCATCTCCCCTCGATGCAGTGACGCAATAAATACACCTCGGGCACAACTCAAATAATCCACCTTTTTGCCGAATAAACGAGCATTATTATTATTAGCTACGAGGAGAGACCGTACAAGTTCGAGCTGTTTAAAATAAAAACCGGGGGGGGGGGGGGGGGGGGGGGGTGGTGGTTTGAAGGGATATATACTTACAAACCTCGTGCAGTTTATCTACACAATTAGACCGAGAGACGCATTACGCACGCCGCCAGAAATCTCTCAAAAAAGAAAACGCCGGGCCAGCGCTCAAAACCACCTAACTGCAAGCAGCTGGCGGGCGCGTCAATAAAACATGACTCAGACTACAATCAGCCCAAAGCGGCACTGTATGGCGGACCACTAAAAACACCAATCTCGCGCACACCGCAGTTATGACAGGGTGGTGCGTTACATAATTGCACCCTAATAAGTGCTTTTTCATTGCCATGCTCTTTGAGTTAGCCGAGTGGGAGGCAGGCTGGGGGGGGGAGGAGGGGAGTGATCGCCTGGATTTTTATTCTGGCCGCCGGGGGCCACGACCGCCACCGCGACCGCGGCGCAGCGATCCTCCTCCCCCCCATTCCTCCCCTCCCTGTGGGCCCACGGGCGCTGAACGCTCTCACTTTCCGCTAAATTCCTCGGGCGTCCCACGGAAAAATCTAGGTAGAGAGCCTCTGTGGGCCCAGCAGTTATAAAAAAAAAAGAAACTGAGTCGCCCCCCCCCCCCTCCACCCCCCCCCTCCCCCCTTTACTGCCTGCATAAAACTCCTAGGGCACGGGCTACCCCCGGTTGCTGTGTATCAGCTTCATCATCAATTAATAATCGCATGCCTCATCATCGTCGTCGTCGGCAACGATCAATCCTCTGCTTCACGAAGGCAGGACCAGGCCGTAGGAATTGTCTACCAATCCCGCCACCTAGCAACCGCGCGCGAGCCGATTCCATCCATCTCCGTGTTGGGTGTCCTCGCGGGGGGCGAGCTTCCGCCTTTTGGCCGCCACTCCGTTGTTCACTTCCCCCCCGGTCACTGTCCCCTTCTCGCCATGCCGTGTCTCACCCCAACCCACTTTCCTTTTCTCAACAATCGGTGTGTTGTCTCTCATCCATGCAATCCTCTCGCCGTCTCCCCAAATGTAAAGCCGACCCCCCCTTGAGTTTGATTCCCAGCCACGGCCTAACAACAGTGGCGAGTGATACCAGAATGGGTCCTGCACCACCCATCACCGACCCACACGAAGCAGCGGTGATGTATGGTCATACAACCCGCATGAACCGCCAACCATACGTGGGGGAGTGGCGGGTTATTGGGAGGTCTTTATCCCAACCGTGGATTGACAAGGGGCCTGAAACGAATCTACAATTATCTATCATTTGCTTAACATGTAAACAACCAAACTCGTACACTCACCATTTCTGACGCATGCATCGCCAGCGAAGCAACGGGTTTTAATCAACGATTCCATGCATCGTTGCCCGCCCGGTACACACCATGCAGCGGACAATCAATAACAGCAATCCCACAACGAATCACTGTGCCGAGATTTACAACATACGCCGGTTGGGTGCTTTCTCTTCTCTCTCTCTCTGTCTGTCTGTCCCGCCACCACACTCTAATACCATAACCGCCACTTACTGCCTTTGTAAAAAAAAGGGGGGCTGCGTGAATCCCGTGATTTATGAGGTGGGCTGGACGAATTCAATAACGCGACGATTGTACGAGGCAAGAGAGGTCAGGGAGAGAGGCAGCCTCAGTCACCAACGTCCGTTGCCGTTTGACCTGCTGCTGCTGCTACTGATTTTGCTGCTCCTGCTGTTGCCCATACTGCTGCTCGTGTTGCTGCTGCTACCTTTTTTTCTTCTGCCCCGTCTGCACTACTCTTTTTTTCATATTGTGTTTTTTTTGGGTTAGATGGCATGAGTATAAATGTGTCGCTACACCCGCCACAGACAATTTGTAAGGTTTGTCACGTAAACAGAACATGCCAACGAATTGGCATGTTCATAACATGTAAGCGATTACAAAAGCGTACGTGTTGTTGGTGATGGTGCATTTATATTTTACAGATTTTTTTTTAATTGGAGATTTATATTTAGTGTTACTTGGGCAACGGCGTGTTTTACCACTGGCGCTCTTTATGCCTACTCTTGCACTTCTTTTGATTCCTTACCTAGCTCAAAACTCTTAAGAGATACATTTGAAATCATACGATTTGTTACCTTTTTTTATTTTTTTTGTATTCGTCGTTTCTTATTCTCTGATGCAGTATGTCCGTCAGGGAAACAGTGCGTTGTTTTTATTGATGAAGCCCGACTTAAGAGCTTCTTAGCACACCGGTTACTTCAAAATAAACTGAATTGAAACTGAAACTTCTACTATGTCGCCGACACTACTGCAGCGGTAGTATGCCGGTTACAAATGCACGCTCATTTGACAGAGGTATGCGCTGCAGATATTTCCCCCCCCCATCACGGTACTCATAAAACTTGTTTTCAAAACCGCCCAACAATGTGCCAGCATTTATTCTGTAACTCTCGTTCGGGATGCTTACATTTACAGTGGACATATTCACAGCAAAACTGGAAAGTTATTGGGGTCCCCCCCCCACCCTCCAATTTTGAAAAAGTTGACCGTCCATATTTGCTGGCAACCCTGTCATTGTAATGTCCAATGGGAATGAACCATAGGAAGTGAGAAAAATCACAAAAACAAAGTCAGTCAAGTTGGCCTCGAGATAAATATGACCTAAACAAATATAACGTATACGGCAGGTATGCAAAACGATTAGCGGTGTCAGTCGGGAGGAACAAAACCGGAAAGCCGTAATAATGAAATATTAAAATGACATTAAAAGTTTACGGGTGCCCGACACAGAGATGGAGTTTCAATAGCGCCTTGAGCGGAGCTTGTCGGTGACCACGCTTAGATTATTTGGCTGCGATAAATTTCCACGCGATGACAAGCCACTTTGTTGAGCTATCATTTGAGATAGCCAGGTCACGTCTGAAAAATAACTCTATATAGCTCTGCGAGCCTTACTCAGTAAATAAAAAAATGCTTTTGTTATGTATGCACGTTGAACTTCTTTCGCACCGTACGTAGCCAACCATGCTAAAAAAGGTGGTGCGGGGGAAAGGACAAGAAACCAAACACAAAAAGCAGTATACTAGAAAACAGCAGAATGTGTACCTAGGGCAGTTATTTAAAGGTGGACCATGATCAAAGTAACGCAGGATCTGTTTCTCGACTGACGCTAACGCCAACGTACAATGACGATCGGCACCAACTACTCCAGATTCTTCAGGTCGTGCACCCGTAAATAAATTGAGTGGGCCGCATCCGCCGAATCTTAAAACAAGACCTATTCTCAAATGGAATCTAGTCCCAGGATTTTGAGACTTCGTGCTTTACTGTTGAACAGAAAGACTACACACCACACCCGAGCAGAGAGTGGTGGTGCAGTGGTTATCACACTGTGCTGTGAACCACCCTCCCCGTCGTTCCAAGGGTTCAATTCCCGGTCACATGCAACCCTCAGTGGCGAGTGATATCTAAACCGGTCCTGGGCTCTTGTCTTCACCCACCCGCACTGACCGGTACTGTACGCTGAATTAAGTTTAAACACAACCTTCAAGACCTTCACAACTTGGTAAATGTCGTCATCCAGCATTAAATTGACAAAGGGCTGAATATTGGTATTATTATTGTTATAATGGCACACCCCAAGCAGAGTCCTCGATTTACAGAAGCCAGCTCAACACCTGCACAACAGCTAAGTCAGGCAGATGTACAGCGCAACATTAAGATCTTAATTTACATCTCCACCGTCGCACTCGCTTGCCTAGGGGCCGCAGAACAGAAACGGTGTTGCACGAAACCGCGAGCTCCACATTTTTTTGGTGCGCGGAAATCTCACGGGCAGATCTGCGCGGGGCGAGTGCCATTTGTGAGGGCCCACATGTCAACAGCGATGGGCTTTACTGGTCCCCCCCACCACCCCCCTCCACAGCACGATGTGCTAAGCACGCACTGCTGCAGGCCAAGATTAATCTTATCTTTATAACCCAATATAGCAACCCTTCACTTGTTGACACGAGAAGTGAGATGATGCGGGAAGCAAGACGGGGCACAGACACCACTGCGGGACTTGGTTTTGTTTTCATTAGCTCTTTAACGCTTTCCAAACAGGGTTGAAAGCGTTTATGCATTTAGTTCTGCCGTCCATAGCGAGATGTGTGGTGCACCGGCACTCGTAAAGATTATTCGATATGAACAAAAACTGTGGCACGGTAAGG